ATGTCAGTGACCCAGACCTCGATGCAATAACTGAAGAAGGAAGTAATCTAAGATTTTCAAATTAATACCCCCATATGGAAAATATATATATATAAATCTTATAAAGTTTGTATCTGTCTTGCGTGAAACTTATATGAAAAGCACACAAGAGTGAAAACAGATATAAGATCCCTAGAAAAATGATATAAATGAAACTTGTATGTTTTGGATAAGCCTTCTATGATTCACTATATGAAACAAGCTAAAGCTGATGCAAGTCTTTCACAAGCTTTTTCTGTTTCTTTTCCATATGGGCCAGGAGGCTGGGGGTAGCACAGGTGGCCACCAGCATTTATTTATTTATTTATTGTTAAATGAGGCAGTAGTAACGATATTTAGACCAGAGGATGGAGTGCTAAATTCTTTATTAGCATTAGCATTGACTCCACTTTCACAGGTGGTGGTTAGAGGAACTGCAGTTGTTCCTCTTCCGTGTCATATTTGCATATACAAGCAAACTTTTGTATGCCATAAGAAATGATTTCAAACAGGTCCTTGACTGCAAGTGACAGGATGTGAGAGCAACCTCATTTATGCCAACAGTTAACCTACGCTAATGTAACACGCAGCGGTTATGCCGCAAGCCTGTAAAGGAGTTAAAGCCAAGTGCACACAGTGTTCATTGATTAAGTGGTGTTAGCCTGGACTCTTGTGAGGCCCAAATGTTGCAGAGTAACACAGAGGACAGTAAATCACAAAGTCTGTTTTCTGTGCTGCTACAACTCCACAGCGTGTTTTCTACCAAAAGGCCGAACACAACACTAAAACCATTGTTGACGATCTCTCAGCCACTGAGCTTGTGCTGAGTAGTGAGGTGGAGCGGGGAGTTTTAATGAGGTGGCATCTGAAAGAGCTGATTTACATAATCCACTTGAGGAGCAAAAGGACGGCTTTACACATTAATCCTGAATCGTTTATTAATGGCTGAAGCCTCGGTTATTAACACAATTTCATCTTGAGCGATTCATTGGCTAAAGATTGATTACAGAGTGTAAAATCGAAAGCGTCTTATCTTTAACATCTGAAGGTAAGAAACCTTCATGAACCTTCATGAACCTTCATGAACCTTCATGAACCGTGCATGTTAGGTCAGTATCCAAAGTCCAAAGAGCCCGGTGGAAATTTTCCCAGTAAGGCAATTTGTGCATAAAAATGCAGAGAAATCCCAGTTATTGCTTTCCACGTGTCAGACGTTTCTGTTTTTACTCTTCTCTTTGAAATTCAGACACTGACTCGTTTTAAGAGACTGGAGTGGGCATATTTTATCATATTAATAAGGCCAGAGGAAAAAGGTTTGAGTCGAGTCAGTTCCTTTCAGGAGAGTCTAAGCTTAACGGCTCTTAATGAGCTGTAAGTGTTATCATTATGTTAATGAAAGCTTCAGATAAATTGGCTCATTGCACCCAGATGCTCATTGTTCTGTTGTCCTGAGCCGTGGTTCATACACTTGCAACAACCTGCTAATAAAGCAGGTTGTTGCAAGTCGGGGCCGTGCAACGTAGGAAAAACTCACTGTTCTACTGCAGGAGCAGGGCCTGATACACAATGCAGCGTCCTACCATACAGCACGCATCGGTGAAACCGAAACAAGAACAGCAGTTAAAGGAGCCAAAATGGCCGCCCCGTTACCGTTGTTTTTTTTGTTTTGGTTTGTTTTTCCTCATTTTTCAGGTCAGTTCAGTTTTATCGAGCTAAATCACAACAACAGTCTGCGCGAGCAGAGAAAAGAACGAGAACACTTCGGGTACTGAAGTAGACTGAAATCCTACAACCATGCTTTCCTGTGCCCTGTCAGCACCTCTGTCTGTGCCTACAGTCATTTGTATCCAGCAGTGTTCTGTCTGCTGTGGCGACAACAGTGAAATAGTGACTAACTATGGCACAATCAGCAGAAATAAATGAAATCGACTGAGGTCTCCTGTGGGAGAGTCTCACACAGTGGGCTGTGGGAGCGTGGGCTGGGAGTCACCTCCTGCTGGCTGATTAAATGAAGCCATTTTCACCACAGCTGTGAGACGGATCACATTTCTGCTCTAATTAGGGGCTCGGGTTGATCTCCTGAGTTGCTCGTTGTTTGCTGTATAGAAAATAGACTTTGGTTTGTTCTTCTCTTGTTATCATAGCTCAGCTTTCAGTTGTGTATAATCACCTCTTTATGTTCACTGGCTCTGCTGTGTGCAGTCCCAGGCCTGAGTAGTTGCGTGTCGTGTGAACTTTCCCTGTCAGTCTGTTCACCCCAAAGCTGAACAGCCTGTGTTTGTTGAGTGCACTATGTGTCCTTAATTTAAGTCCGTATTTTGGGGTTTTCCCTTTTTTTGAGGAGACTATTTTGCTTTTCCGGCACCAAAACTCTTTCTTGGACTCCACTAGATTACATCGCCTAGCTTTGCATGATTCCCAGGCTACGTCCACACGTACCCGGGTATTTTTGAAAACGCAGATTTTTCTATGCGTTTGCACCTTTCGTCCACACGTAAACGGCGTTTTTGGTCACTGAAAACGGAGATTTTTAAAAACTCCGGGCAGGGTGGATATTTTCTAAAACTCCGTTTTTGCATTTACGTGTGGACGAGAAAACGCAGAAAACGCAGCGTCAAAGATGTGCGCCTTTTTTGACGTCACACTGTGCGCCACGTTATTGTTTCGGTGAAATGAATTTCTACAATACTGTTAATTCTACTCTCTGCAGTGTTTAAATGCTTACATATACACACAGTTACTGTCCCTCCACACATACGACTCGGTTCTGCTTCTATGCCCCAGCTTTGTTTACTTTTTCCCACCGAGGCTTCTAGACTTCTGATTGGCCAACATTTCTACACGGTTAGGAATCTAGCGCCACCTGCTGCTTTGGCATGTTCATAGCAGCGTTTTCCTTCATTTCTGCCTTTACGTGTGGACGGGATTATTTTTTAAAACGGAAAATCTCCGTTTTCAAAAATACCCGTGTACGTGTGGACGTAGCCCCAGTTTAATATATTCCTTATGTTTCCTTTCCTGGGTGTCAGTGCAGCCTCGTTTCATCCTGTCTGAAACAAGCTCCTCCCCCTGTAAGCCCATCGTCTCTGTAGGCCAACCGTCTGCCGCTTGGCTGTCCCATAAAATCCCACTGGTGACCTTACTCTGTGCCAGCTCCTGTCCTGTCAGAGATAGACACAGATCAGGCCTAGTCCCACCACACTCAGGTCTCTACATGCTGACAAATGAGCTACTTATGGCTCCTGAATAATCAAGATGACTCATTATCTCCCCATTAGCCTAAATGATGTGACATTTCTTCATGAATTGCCTATAAAACACAAGCGCGCTCCATCTGACAACCATCTGTGGCTGAAATTCAGTCACAATGGCTTCAGCATGACGGCTGCTCTTTATGCTGCTCATGGATGACTGTGGTCTGTTAAAGGATTAATGCATTTACATGAGAAAACACATTTTATATCAAGCTTCATTCCTTTCTGGTGTCAACACTGATTGTGAGCATATAAAATAATAATGAAACAGTCATTTTGTGAGTACAGGGCACTGATATAATATGCAATATTCTTTAATGGATCGTGACGTCTGCACAGCATCGCTTCTGTCCTCCACAGGAGGTTGGAGGGCAGGACTGAATCAGTTATGTCATGTTCATTTCATAAATGTGGACATGAAGGGATCCAGCTCCTTAGCTGGGACACAGAGTGAGCGGCTCTGATGGGACTCGGTTCACCCCGCTGTTGGGTCATCATCACTGGAGGACAAATGATGCACATGTTTCATTGTAGCGAGTGAGCGTGAGGGAAAGCAACATCTCCAGATCTGCAGTCTGCTCCACGTTCACAAGTTCAGTTTGAAAGTTTTCAGTTCATAAGTTTTCCTGTTGCCTTTAAATTTTGGCTGGGGTTAATTTTGTCTGTCGAACGCTTAAACAAAAATAACATATCAAACAAACAGACCTAAGATTTAGTTTTTTAACCAAACCAAAGAGATCTGTCTTTAAAACAAAAACCAAACAGCTTCCGTTTATGAACCTTTTCAAAATGTTCATTTGCTGGTGGTGGACTGTGAAGGACTGGCACAACAGGTGGGAAGGTGTAAAACTGGAAATTCTACATATATTAGCTTTTTGAAAAAGTCACTTCCCAATGAAAATTCCCTTTAAAGGTGAATCCACTGGAAGCTGATAGGAGGGAAACGCAGGACAGGTTGGATAAGCTGACACAATGATAGTCGGGGAGCACAGAGCAGAGTAACAGACGAGACAATCACAAGGGCAGGAAAAGAGCAAAGACAGGAAGTGAAACAGAATGCACAATTAAAGGTTACTGTCAAAATAAAACAGGAAGTTACTATAACCCGTGAAACACACATAAACAGACAGGGAAGCTCAAGACGGAGAAATACAGAGAGACTGAAAAACCAACTACAGAGTGCTTCAAAAATCTAAACCCGTGAATGAGTTTGTTTTTACTGCTCAGTGAAGTCGGTTTTCAGATGCATGTTTGCTTCTCTTTTCATGTTTTGTTCATAAGCACAGTAACTTCCTCACCAGTGAACTTAAAAGCTGGAGTTCAGTTTTTATTTTAACTTGTGTAAGAGGCTCACTTCCCTCAGAGCTTGTGTCGTGGAATCAAATCACATATTTTTGTGCTTTCGTCCAGTTTGTCCAGTAAAAGTAAACCAGCACGAAAGTTAAAAACAGATTTCTTTTGTTCTACAGTATTTACTGTGATCTCTGTGTTGGTGTGGCCGGAGGATTCAGTGAGAAGCTGCAGCTTTGAACCAACAGCAGAGATGTTTGTTGGTTCTCTTTATGCGCTGTGGACAGATTTACATGAGCCTGAAGTCTGTGGTGAATTCCTGGTTTCTGTCCTGAGCCGGAGCTTGTTCTTGTGGGACTGCGTAACTGTCTGAATGAACTCTGCTATTATTGACTCTCATTTTATTTAAAAAAACATTTTTGTCATTTTTCTTTTCAGTAAAATCAGAAATGACAGAGAAGAAGGAGGAGAAGAAGGAGGAGAAGAAGGAGGAGAAGAAGGAGGAGAAGAAGGAGGAGAGTGTGAAGAAGGTGGACCTGTTTGACCCTGTGGATAAAGTCGAGCAGAAGAGTGTAAAGGTTGAGTTCACGAGCAGTGAGAGTCCGGTTAAGGTGGAGGAAGAGGGAGAAAAAGACAAAATGAAGGAGGCAGAGAAACGGGAAGAGAAGGTGGATAGAAATCAAAAGGAGGCAGAAAATCTGATAGAAAAGGTGGATGAAAAACAAAGGGAGCCTGAAAAAGAGATGGAAACAGAGAAAGTGCCGCCTGTGCAACAAAAGCCCGAGAAAGAGGATGAAGTGAAAGCAGAAGAATTGTCAGACAAATCAGAGATAAATAAAGCAGAGAAGACAGAGAAAGAAGAAAAAGTGGAGGCTACAGAAAAGCTGGAGGCTGACGTCGAGAAAGCACAGAATGTGGGCAAAATCGCACAAAATGACAAGTCCAAAGTGTCCAAAGTGGAGGACAAAGCAGAGAACAAGACCACAGAGAAGCCCGAGATCACAGAAATGAAGGACGGCAAAGAGCAGCACATCAACAAAGTGGAAAAGACCCCAGAGCAACAGCCGACATCCGTCAAGCTCGAGACCAGCTGTGACCAGACAGAGAAGAAGGCCGACACGGAGACAAAGGCTACAGCGGAGCTGGAAGACGCCAAGACAGAAAAGGCTGACGCAGGCGAGGCCAAGAAGACGGAGAAAGACGGTGAGGCGGTGAAGCCGTCTGAGAAGCCGGTGGAAAAAACAACACAGAAGGAAGAGAAGCCGGACAAAACGCAGGAAGACAAAAAGACGGTTGAGAAGAAAGACGAGAAGAAGGACAAGGCTGCAAAGGCAGACGGAGACAAGGCGAAGAAACCTACCAAACCCTCAGCCAATGGAAGCATTTCAACACCAAGCAAAGAGCTGGCAGACAGGAAGACCAAGGTAGGGATCAGTGGAAGGTGAAGTGTTGCTTTGACGTATGCTTAGGATCATTCTGATAAAACACTGTTTTAGTATCACAGCGAGGGTAACGCCCCACTCAGGGTGGAATTTCAAATGTAATACCCAAATGTTGGCTACAGTAATGCGGTAACAAGTCGAAATGATAGCAGTGTACGATTTCACGGCAGTTTGCATCTTACATCATAAATCATCCAAACTGCTAATAAATATCAGGCTGAATACGGACATGATGGCTGAAAGCATCTGAGACGTGCAGCGTGGGAGCGGACAGGATGGCATGAGCGCATTTTAAAAACCGAGCGTGCATGCTGCCTAAGCGTCTGTCCTGGTTGTGTTTGTTTACTGCCTTGAAGCGACAGAGTAAATGCTAAGTGTTAGTTGTTTTTGTTTTCTGTTTTTTTGTTCTCACTTTTTGTGACTTTGTGATGTAATTGCTGCTTGTGCTGCTTGACCCTGCTCCTGTTACCACCCATTTTTGTTAATTTTATCCATTTTCCTTGGTTTCCTTGGTTTTACCCTCCATCCATCATCCATCCATCTCCTGCGTGTCGGTCCTGCATCGCAGCCTGCTGCCGGGGCAACCAAACCAAGCACAGCTGCCAAAATGCGCCCGAGCACTGCAGGTGCTGCTGGTCCTGCTCCAGGCCTGACTAAGCGTCCCGTATCCTCTGTCGCCACCTCCACCCCCCACACTACAGACAAAAAAACAACCACAGCTAAAGCACCTTCCACAACAGCTGCAGGGTCTAAGCGACCCTCCACCACTTCTGCCAGCCGCCTCACATCATCCTCCACCAGCACGACACGTGAGCTTAAACCCAAGGTAAGTTTTAGCTAACAGGAAGCGGTCAGCGGCAGCAGCCTGCTCAGTTACACAGAGCTGCACGATTGACGTCATCACAATGAGTCCTTCTTATGTTTTGAAGTGATTTCATTAAACCTCATCCACATCGATCAGGACAACAGATTTCTTACTTCTTCGGCTTTTTCTAACTAAAGTTAGGATCAGCGGAGTTTCTAACAACCGTCTGTTTCCCCCGTGGTCATGAATCTTTGCCATCTGGTCTGTTTGCGTGCACAGGCTCACAGAGACGGTGAAAATGTAAATGCATGTAAAGTTTGTGAGCTGGAAATGCAGGAAAAAGCCAAGAGGGTTAAACACGCTGAAACATTTAGCTGTGCCTCTCGTTTGAATGAACAGGAGTGTGTTACTGTAGCCGTGTGTGTTATATGAAAATGTGTTGAATTCAGACAAACACACGAGTGGTTTTTATAATAACTATGCAGATATTGGTTTTTATCCACCGCAGGAGCTGCAAACATGCAGTTATAAGAATTAGTTTGTCTGTATATGGAACTGATATTATGTCAGGACGAAGCTGTGACACTAACCTTTCATGGCTAATGGCCCCGCCCCTCCCTGAGCCTGGGACTGCTGGAGGGTTCTTCCTGTTAAAAGGGAGTTTTTCCTTCCCACTGTCACCAAGTGCTTGTTCATAGGGGCTCATATGATTGTTGGCCTTTTGTATTATTGTAGGGTCTTTACCTTACAATATAAAGCACCTCGGGTCAAATGTTGTTGTGAGTTGGCAATAAAATAGAATAAAAAGTTCCATTTATTAATTGGCTTGTCCACTTTAATGCCTTGTTCCTCAAAAAGAGCAGTCAACCTTCTGTCAGCCTCTTCTGCTGAGCTCCTTAAAGGTAAACACTGTTGCACCAACAACATATTAACAGCCCTGATGGAGCTGCAGGGGTGCAGGGTGACTCATGTTGCAGGACGGCTCGGCTGAATGTGAAGGTTAGCCTGCTCTGAGGGTTACAAGAGGCAAACACGCTGCTGAGTGAAATGTGTAACCATCGTTGAGGGCTTTGGGTCCATATCTTCCGCCAATTGGGGCAAAATCTTTGACCTGAATATCTCAGTGAGGCCAGCGAACATTTGCTGGACTGATCACAACATCCAGGCACACTGAAGATGCTTTGTGACCTAATTTGCTGCTGCCTGTTTTGTTGATTTGATATCCCTTCGCAGATGCTTGCCCATATTCATTCGTTTCTTCTCTGTCTTCCTGGATGACATATTACCTCGCCCAGATTTATTTTTCTCTTTCTTTTCAGACAACAACAGAGAAGCGCCCCCTAGTGACAAAGTCCAGCACTGCTGCCTCAAATCAAACAGGTTCAGCCAGCAGAAACACGTCTGCTGCCACAGCAGCCAGTAAAACCACTGCACCAGTGCGCACGGCAGGATCTACTCGCACCACTACCACTGCTGCAGCCAGAAAGCCTCTGGGTATGTGTGTGGCTTTCTTTACACTCGGTTTATTTATTGTGTTGATAAATTACACGACTGACAAAGGTTTAAACATTTTCTTTTTAGCCTCTAAGACAGACAGCAAACCAGGAGAGGAGAAGAAACCCAGCGCCCCGAGGACTTCGACAGGTAGAAACCACTACAGTGTCCGACCTTGTCGTTAGTACGAGCAGAGCAGTTTCATTAGGCCTCGCTCAGAGTATTAGTTATATTCTCTCGGGCTGGCTCAGACGCCTGTGTGTAGTCTCTTTATTTTCCTTTGTTAGTACATGTGTAAGCACATGTTTGTGGCTCGGTCATTCTAAGACTTGCAGATAATACATTTAATAATAATAATACAGTTTATTTATAGGCACATTTAAAGACCCTCAAGGTCACCTTACATTAGTGCAACAAACAAAAGAAGGTAAAAAATAGACTAAGACGGAGTCACAATGAAGTGCATGCAGTTAGAACTGTTGGAGAAAATAAAGCATGAGGACTCAGGTGTGATGGGGTTGAGCAGAACTATCCGTGGCCACACTTATATATACAGTATGGGTGCAGTGAGAGTCTGCCTGTGCCACCTTAGAGCTACCGAGTCTTCTGACACGTGGCACAGACGAGTAAAACACGCCCACTAATCAGCTGAGTGCAGCGAGTACGGGTTCTGTTTGGGTTACAGCACTGCTTTAACTCTTTATGGCACAGATTCAACAAGGTTCAGCTGGAAACGCTCCTCAGAGGGCTTTGTCCTTTTTTAGATGACAGCATCATACAGATCTCCTGCTCCACATCCAGCTCAGAAAGCTAACGCTAAGAGCAGAATGTGCTTCAGCTGTGAACCGCTGATACGTATGGATCCGACCTTTGATGCTGTGTACACCTGTAGTTTAATCCTGACCCTTCTCAGGCTCATCACACCAGGTTGTTGTACAGTCTGTTTGTGAGCTCGTGTGAACTGTAGCCTGTTTTGTGTTCGTTGCTGACATGAGGTGTGGTCTTCTGCATTTTTCAGACCGGTCTCTATAAAGGCCAACCCATCTGGCACCGACAGCCAGGTTCAAGGTCACAGTCGATCATTTTTCTCCACATTCAGATTCTCAGTTTAAACTTCAGCTGGTCATCTTGACCATACCTGCTTGGCTAAGTGCTTTCAGTTAGTTATCTGCATTAACAAGCTGTTGAACAGGTGTACTGAAGCCACTGTGTACAGCTCGTCCGCTCGGGGGTCGACACTGTGGTGCATGTTCTGTTCTCAAGATGGGACAATACTTTAGTTAGAGTGCTGCACAGTCCAGTGTAGATACAGACAGTTGTATTGCAGTTGGTATTGATGTGATGAGGGAAAGGATCCCGTGGTACTCCGCAGTGCCCCCTCCCATCTGTGCCGTCTCTTTGCATATGTTTCTCTCCTGTTTCTTCTTCTCTGTAATCCTCTCCTCACTTCGCGTTTGTGGCTTTTCTCCTGCTGTTGACAGAGTAGTTTGTTTTGGCACCAGGAGAGCTGTCAGCAGGACTGCGGCACCAGAACGCACTCATTGTGTCCGACCGTGACAATGCTGGGCAGGCTTATGCAGAGGGAGGCTTTACTGCTGAAAGGCTCTGGAGAGTTAAAAACCTTCACCGCAGCAGCCTGTGGATTACTGTCCCCTTGCTGTTGACAGGAGTTTGCAGCTCTTTGCTGATGCAGCCTCAGCTCGTCTAAGCTGCCAGGGTTCATGCAGAAAGTCAAATTACTCTTTAGAAACATGAAGGCGAGGGGGAGGATTTCCTCCGTTAAATATGTCTTAACGGGAGCCGGAGATATCCGACAGGCTCTCGGGGAGGACTGACAGCAGGACACGTGGTCCAGGATGCCTCAGCGCTCTGAAAGAAGAGTTGGCATACAGTCCAGCCCAAAGTGTGTGAACTGACAGATTTGAATTGGTGCAAATGTTGCACTGCATCAGTGCAGGCTGGCTTAGGATGCTGGAGCTAAAGTGTCTTTACTCAGAGAGGATTACAGCACTGAAAATCAATGGTGTTTGAATATCTCCCCTTTAAAAGATACGTGTGGTGACTGTACCAGAGAAAAGGATGCAGACGGGGTTTTTGCACCGCTGTATATTTTTCTGTAATGTTAATTTTAGGTTTTTATGCTAAGGTTGATAACGGGCAGCGTTGTGTGTTCGTTATTAGCCCTCATGCGTCTTTGAGAAGACGCGGAGCAATAATGTCGGAACTCTTAGTCTTCCTGAAAACGCATCTTTAAGATGCTTAACAGAGAGTTTAACATCATTGGAAATAACCGAGCTTTACATTAAGAGCTGTGCATTAAATATAAAGCCAGAGGTGATTATCCTAGCTTACAATAAAGACAGGAAGTCGGCTTGTAGCAGTATTTATACACTGCTGCTCAGAAATTCAGGGTCAGATGCTCGAACCACCTCAACTGGCTCCTTTCCAGTTGAGCCCTCCCAGATGGTTGAACTTCTCACCCTCTCACCCATCTGTAAGGGAGAGTACCCGCGATCTCATCCTTCTGGTCACTACCCACAGCTGGTGACCGTAGGTGAGGGTAGGGCCGTAGATCGACAGGTAAAGTGGGAGCTTTGCTTTCACTCTCAGCTCTCTCTTCACCACCTCAGACTGGTATAGCGTCCGTGAATCGCTACCTAACGTGGTGGAGTGGTTTGTGTGTCCGGGGGCTCCTGCCTTGGATATGCATGCCCACCATATTTTATTTTGCTGTTTTACCCTCTTTTTTTTTTTCTAAGTCTGGTTTGAAAAAGCTGCGATCATAACTCCAGTTTGGCAGAGAGATCTATAAAGCTCTGTATAATTATTTTCTCCCTTTAGCTGACTCAAGCAAGCCTAAGACCACCACCACCCGCAGCACTGCCTCCACCACCACCACCACTGCCTCCCGCACACGAACCACAGCAGCCAAACCAGCAACGCCATCCTCCGCCGCAGGCACGGGGCCAGAGAAGAAGCCCCCGGTGCCCCGCGCCCCGCGGGCCGCCTCTTCAACCACAGCGACCACCGCTTCCCGGAGCACAGCTCGCCCCGCCACAGCTCCCGATGTCCGCAACGTCCGCTCCAAGATCGGCTCTACGGTCAACATGAAGCACCAGCCCGGAGGAGGGAAGGTAGGTCTTCACCGCTGTATGAGTGTGGCATGTGGTCTCTGACACCGACTGCACATGGACTAACAGGAAGTGGACTGTGCAACTCTGATTTCACGTCTGACGCTGACCTCTTGTGGGTTCCTACCTGTCCAACCCACTAAAGCCTATCAGCTCACTCACTGAAGTAAAATGGTCCCCATAGTTCTGCTTCTTCTCTTTTTTGCGTGGGATTTCCTCTGCATGTACATCTACTGTCATTGTAGACACACAACTTCCATCAAGGCTCTTTAGAAAGAGGATGGATGTTGAAAAGGTTTACGACACTGGTCTCGTGTAGTTTTCTGTGAATGTCAACAAAATAACAGCTAAGATATGAGATCAGGCGGTCGTTGCTACAGGAAGTCCAACATTTACTTGATGGACAAAAGCTGATTAATTTGCAGTAACACAGAAAATTAACCTTAAATGATCATTTTAAAAATGCCATTTCATTCATTGGTTCTGTTGTTGCCCTGGTTTCACAGTCCGATGGTGTAAACAGCAGAGCACTGAGTACTGTGGAGTCGATGGGGTTGATCGGGTTCTGCTTGTGCATGCACTCTCCACTCTTCCTCGCTCCCCTCCTTCTTTTGTCCCCTCACTCCTTACCTTCACCGCTGTGCTTCCAAACAATCTCTGCACTCTGACCTCGTCCTCCTGTGTTTTTTAACGAGGTGTTGTTGTTGACCCTGTGTGGACTTGTCTCCCCAGGTGCCTCCTTCCTCTCAGAGCAGGGTTTTCACCTCCAAAGAGAGCAGCCAGGGCAAAGTGAGTTCCCTCTCCATCCTCCCACCATGACCCTCTTTTCTGTTGATATATTTTCCAGTTGCCTTTCTCTGCTTCTCATTTCTGTTGTTTTTTTATTAACTCGACCCAGTGAGAGCACAAGAGCAGGCTAGCCAGTATACTGGAGGCTCTTGAAATTGCACACGCCTCCTGTTCTCTCAGTTTCTCCCAACACGGGCATCAGACGTGTCTGTGGGGAAATTAGTTATCGGATTATTTATGGTCAATTTGTAATTAAATTTGAACCCTCTGCTCATTAATTAACCAAGATAATTAACCCTGGCCTGGGGTTTGAAGCAGCTTGTGAGTTAACACAATGCAGAGAAGCTGTTTGAAGCAAGCCGCTGCTCTCCCAGTCTAAATCTGTAGTTTGTGGACAAAGATAAAACGTTCGATTCCAAACGTGTTACGATCCATACACCATCCAGGGAGTCTAAATGCATTTTTCTCAGGTTCATTGCATTACAAAAGTGACAGAAGCACACGAATTATTCTTTGACCTTAACTCATTTAAATGTTAACTGTTAACGGGCGTCCGAGTCACTGAAGTCCAGATAAAGATCAGTCACACATGGACACAGTCACCTGCACATGATTGGTACGTGTGATCATTACCTTAGGCTGTATATAAAAGATGGGCATGGCCAGTGTGGGTCCACCCACTGATCATAATTTACACATGAACACCATGCTGTGTTTAGTGGGACTTTAAAAATAGACGTTTACAGCATAAATTCATCAGGAACGTGCTTACTGAGCTCACAGACTGCAGTGCAACCAAACTATGTTCTGGACCCAGACAGCTACAGACGTCATCTATGGACCTTTCAACTTTTCAGCTTGTTGCTCTTCTTCTTTTGTTTCCGTCTTATTGTAGGTCAGGGTGACAAAACAAATAGAAAAACACCAAAAAACACAAGTTGAATAAAAAACAACAATTGTAGGAAAAACTGCAGCAAAAGCTTAAAATTAAATCAGAAACAAAACACGAGTGTTTCTGGGACACAAAACTAAATGAACTGCACTCATTACAAGTAACATTCAAACATGCTGAATAGAAGCAGAGGACTCATCGGTGCTGTGAGGGAGGTGCAGGTGTGTTTTATCGATGTGTTTCATATAATACTGTAGATACATGTTGACCTTTAGCCTGTTAGCCTGTTAGCTTGTTAGCTTGTCACTTCTCGTGTCCCCAGAAACGCTTCTGTTTTCCTTTGTGATTTAGTTTTTAGCTATTTCTGCATTTCTTCTATTTTTCACGTGTTTTATTCGACGTCTGCTGTGTTTCATGAGCTTTTGCATTTTTCTGTCTACTGTTGTTTTGTTAAGGTGTGTTTGACCTCTCAGGGCCACCGTACTAAACTCATTTGGATGCAGAATGTGTGTGTTGGGTCTAGCAGTCTAACCTGACGTATTGTAAATAATGTGTGTGTTTTAATTCTTGGTGTATGTTTAGTTCAGCTAACCAACGTGTGCGGCAGCGTCTCCGTTTAAAGAGTTTAATGAGGGTCCGAGACGTTCACGTCTGTATGCTGTGCTGCATGTGTGCGCTTCATAAAGCAGGTTCGGTGTGCTCTTTGGGGCCTTCAGCTGTCCTTTTCTCCTGGTGCTCTGTTTCCATCTTATTTAAACAGCAGCGATGCTGAACGACCGGCTATGTTTAGCTAAAGAGAACCTCGCTCCGCCTTCTATCCTTTCCTTTCTAACCCTACCTGTGATGGTGACTTCTTCCTCCCTGCACTTTCTCTTCTTGTTTCTGCTTCTGTTCTACCTCACCTCTCCTCTATCATCTCCTCCCCTCTTTTCCCTCGCTCTTCTCTGCTCCCCTCTTGCTGCTATGCTGTGTCCATATAGGTTCAGATAGTCTCCAAAAAGCTGGACTTCAGCCACGTCACATCTCGCTTGGGCTCCAAGGACAATATGAAGCATGTTCCTGGTGGAGGGAATGTAAGTACTGTCTGGCCCACAACCAGAGCCCACATGTCCCGGCCAGTTAGTCTGATATTTAGAGCCCATTAAAATGGCTCGAATGAAGGGAAGGCCACAGATGAAATGCTGTAAGAGAGGCACAGTGTAAAGAAGAGAACTGTAAGACGATGTTCGTAACGTAAATGCTGCTCTTGGCTGGAAAATGGAGCTTTGTAGTTGTTGGCATGCTGGCCAAGCTTAGGTACAAGCCCCTCCCCAGAACCTGCTTCACACTCCCGCTCGCTTCCTTAAAGTTGTCTTGTGTTGTCCCGCCCTCCCACTAACCTACTAAACCCTACTCAACCCAACAGGAGCCTCTGCCCTCTGATTGGCTGTCTTGGTTCTGTAAGGACAAAATCACTGAGAGAAATCTGGGGTTTCTGGTTTCCTGCAATGATGCTGTGCCAAGCTCCTCCCTTTAGTCTCTGTCGTGGGTTCAGCACAAACATATTTCACAAAAAAACATTTTTCTACAACACGGACGAAGAAACTAGAAGATGCGGTTTGTTCAGCGTGCTGTTTGTCCTGATGCTGGTAACTCAAAGTATAATCAGGACGTTGGGTTTCTTTTTTCTGATTGGTCCTTTTATTCAACCACAGTCGAGCATTTTTACACGAATCTGTGGATTAAAGAAGGAACATTTGTGACATTCAACAGGTGCAGATTCTCAACAAGAAGGTGGACGTCAGTAAGGTGACGTCAAAGCTGGGCTCCAAGGACAACCTTAAGCACAAGCCTGGTGAGCTAAACCTGTGTGCTCTGAGTTTGCAGTCATAAAACAATGACAATGAATCAATACATCAGCACTACAGGCTGTCTGTGACTGCACAAGCTTGCATCTGCGTACATGTGTGTGTTGCAGGAGGCGGCGATGTGAAGATCGAGTCTCACAAAGTGAACTTTAGGGAAAAGGCTCAGTCCAAAGTGGGCTCCATGGACAATGTGAGCCATTCACCTGGAGGAGGAAACATCAAGGTGAGATCGCGAGCCACAGCCGTGCACGCTGTGTTTACGTCCCTCTGAATCCACTGAACTGTTTCTGATCAGTCAACAAACTAAAGAGTGAAAACGATGAGCGCCAGCTGCAGCTGGGGTGACTCGCTTTCATGAATAAAGAAAGTAGCGCTGTAACAACAGTTACAGTTAATATGAAGGACAACTGGTGAGTCAGGGTTTGGTACAACACGACAGAAAAAACAAAGAAACGTTTTTTTAAATTTATGTCCACAAATGGCGATAATGGCCTTTATCCTTACATTACAGCACTAACACACTCTCATCCTCCCAGTACGGACATCCACTGTACAGTGCTCATATTAAACAAAGTAACAAAAGTGCTTCTGGATGTCAGCGACAGGGTACATGACCTCGTCATGGTCATCCCTGACTGGAAGCAGAGAAGCCCCGCCCACCTGCTATTCACTAGTGTTACAACCCAAAGCAGACCTTCAGTACAGAACGCTGCGGCACCAACAGCTCACACATTACTCCAGTTTTGGCTTCTCTTCATTGGTTGTCAGTAAATTTTAGGTTTCATTTTAAAATAGTAGTTTTATCTGTTAGAGCTCTGCACGGTGAGGCTCCCCAGTTTATCTCTGACCTGCTGAGCACTTAGGTCGTCAGGTCAGAGGTCACTGTTGGTCCCACGTACAGGCACCAAAGCTGTGGAGCTCTGTTGTCTTTAGGCTGTACAGACTCCATCGACTCTTTGAAAGAGCAGCTGAAGACATTTCTATACAAACAAGCTTTTAATTAATGTTTTATATTATTATTTATATTTCTGGTTGTATTGTGAAGCACTTTGTGATTTGTATCTGTGAAAAGTGCCATTTAACTTACTGACGAACTGGGTTTGGTTAAAATCACAACCTCCGATTTACCCTCTCAAGGCCCAAAATAAAGAGAATATTTCAATCATGCAACCTGACACACAGTTTTCTGCAGATTTCATCCATATTTAACGGTGAAAAAAAAACGCTCTTGGTATTAAAATGAAGTGACTGCACCCGTGTTTCTAAATCCCTCATGAGACTAACGACACTTATGATAAATGAATAAAATAAGAACAATATAGATTTTTTTAACCTTATGTATGAAAGCTGCAGTTTCACAGCTTTTTGTGTGAGCTGTCCACTGTCAGCAGGGCACAAGATCCAGGCAGATATGAATCCAGAAGTGAGACTTGAGGCAGGAGCATCAGCCCTGGTCTCAAGGCTAACTTTGCTTGTAGCTTGTAGACAACAACTGTTGTGGAGTTTATGTTCTGGGAGCTCGAGTCGACATAAATCAACTTCTCCTCACAGGGTGAAGCAAGGACATTTCAATAAACAGTCACAACTGAATTTAAGTTTAAAAAAGACCGAACCTGCTTCTTCAGGATTGTCTTGGCTTCATTCTCACAGACGTAGGATCATTTCATCAGAAGAATAATCAGAATAAAATAATAATTTATGAAAAAATCCCGTCCTGAAAATCACTGACACGTGACATCAGAACCTTCTAAAACTGCTTTGCATCTGATGTCTCGCAGCATCGCCCTCTAACCCTGACCTCTGTCTGAAGGACACTGTTGTGAATTCAGTTCCTTCCGGTCTGCATGCGTCTGCATGTTAGTATTTAAAAATGTGTTACATCGTGGGATTACTTGTGTATCGGGGCAAAAAATGAAGACTCTGGCTTTTTCCGTTGGTCTTGTTCGGCCTCTGTGTTGGTAATGACATGTAAGGTGGGATGGCCTCACACACCGGCCTCGAACCCTCCTCCCTGCAGCCAGCTTCCTGTCTCCTGAGCTTGCTGTTGTGAAAGCGTCTGGATGCTCCCCCAGCACATTCAGAGACACAGAAAGCAGCCGTGACAGATAAAGGGCCCATTTTTTGGTTTTGGTTTTTTAATAAAAACTGAAAACGTTCAAAATGTTCATGTTACATAAAAGAATGGATATAAATTCACCAGTTCATCAAATGATAATGATGTCACCTGTCCCCTCAGCCTATGGCAGCCTGTCTGTTTCATGGTCACCACATCGTCACATCTTCATCCTCATTCACTAGTTTGCTTGCCCGGTCATCGTGATCTTCGTGATCATTGCTACGAATAGAACAAACATCAAAATAAGAGAGCCTATTTTTAGCACTGATTTGCACAGCTTTGTAAAATGTATCTTTATTTTGGAAGCAATGAAAGGATACAGTTTCCCCTTTTTCCATTCTGCAGAATCCAGATTTATGCAGAACCTGAACCTTTGCAACCGTTGCACAATCCCATGTTTAGTGTCTATTACTGCTCCTTCATTACAATGCACACACACACACACACACACACACACACACACACACACACACACACACACACACACACACAGTCTCTTAGGCGTCTTGCCTGTGGTCGTTCCGTGGAAGGGAAACTGTTTCCTGGCTCATTTCTCAGTGTGTTCCCAGCTGTTCAGGCATCTTTGGTTCATTCTGACAGGTTTTGATTTTTGCTTTTGGAGAAATTGTTTCAGTGACATTAAATTCGTCCAAGATAGAATAATGTTCAATTCAATTCAGTTTTATTATGTAGCTCCAAATCAGCAGTCAGCAACAGTCTGCTCATGGATCCAAACTGGGAGCAGAAGAGGAAAGCTGAGAGCTCGACTTCAAAAACTGTAGGACCCACGACTAAGGCTGCAGTGTGAGAGTGAAATGCTCTGTTGGGTTGACCTTTAACCTTATTATTAAAGAACTTGTGTGTGAGGAGAAGGGTTTTAAAGTGGGTTTAACTGGGAGAAGCTAATGTTGGCACTTTGTAGAGACGTGTCCTTCACATTACATCAGCTTTGTTCGGTGATGAGTTTGACTTTCAGTTATATTTCTATCATTGCATTCATTGGGCATGCTCAGATGTTATTTGTAATATTGTATTCTTAAGTTGTTGTTTTTTGGGTCTTTTGTATTTCCATCTCTTTTCCACTATGAAAGCTCTGAGTTCCCAACCAAAGGGGAAAGGATCCACTTTCCATTACTGATCCAGTAGTTTTACCTCAGAGTGCAGCACTGGGGAACAGGTGGAACAAGGATTTTGCCGAGATCATTCCTAAAGCTGTTTGCACACATTAACTCAGGACACTGCAGTGGAGTCCTCACTGACAGTCTGACCATCAGGGACAATTTCAGGTTCGTAACCTGGTGAATCTTTGGGGAAAGGACGAGCACACTTCTGGTTCCACTCCTGAATTAATTCCCTTTTGGACGCTTCATCTGAAAATAAGTCACCTGCTGGGGAGACCCAGTTCTCATCACCAGCACTGATCCTTCACTGAAGATGCTAACCTGTACAAGTCTGAGGACTATTTTACAGAATATCCTGGCAAAATCTGTTATTTCCACCTGTTTTTAAGTCGTAAGACAGCAATGTAGGTTAAGTTGTTTTTCTCGCTGAACCTTTCAGAGCTTCCATACCTCACCTCAGTCTGGCTCCACATCCTTCTAGCTGCATTAATCAAATTCTTGTCATCTAAAAATGTCTAAATAAATTACTCATAAGCTGCTGTTTGAAGAACTTCATGTTGCTGTTCACAAAAAAGTTATAATAATAATTAAAACTTATAGTTTTACGTCTCAGCCATGATGATGGAGATTTGGAGCCAGGTTGTTCCATCCCCACCAATTGACACATCCTGCTATGTGTTTCTAGGCTGAGGGGGCACAGGAGGCAACAGAGGGGAGTGGGGACCCCCTGAGTGGCAGCCCTGCCCCGGCCCCAGGCTCCGAGCCAGGGCAGGCTGGGGGCCCCGCTGCCCTGAAGAATGGGTTGAAGGACGGGGCTCCCTGTCATAGTGAGGGCCTCCAGGAGCCCCAGGCTCTGGACTCACACATCCCAGAGACAAGTAAGTATGTGTCGGTGTGTTAGTTTGGGTGGGATCCCCACATAGTGAACCAGGAGGAGGCAGGAAAGGTTTGATGTACTTGTCCTGCTGAGCCGAGTGTCTGATTGTTGTGCTGTCTGCAGTCCAAAGCTCCTGATCACATCACCATCTTTTATCTTACAGGCATCTAATTCTGCTGTCCCTCTGCCCTCCTCATTTCAACTCCCCCCCTCAACGTCACCGCCTCCCCCTCTCCCACCTTGTCTTTCCTGTTTTCCTTCTTTGTTCTTGTTCTCTCCCCCTCTCCCTACCTGTCCTCCCCTCCTCCCCCCAAACGTTTCTGCTTTAGATTGAGTCTTTCAAGCTCAACTTCCGCGAGAATGCTCGCTCTCGCACGGACCACGGCGCTGACATCGTCACCTGGCTAGCCCCACAGGACAACAACAGTAACAGACCCCACCCACACGGCTCCTCTTATTCCCTACATACCAGCTACCACCAACAACAACAGCAACCGACAACTCGTAGTGTCTCCCTCATCGAGTCGCTGGCTTCGGTCGGCTGCGTCAGCTCCCCCTTCGCCCCCTCCTCGCTGCAGCTCCAGGTGGAGGTCCAGGGGGTCGACCGCAGCAGCTCCTTAAAGGGATCGTGACCGTTGTGACCCCTCTCAATATCTCTAACCTGCTATTGCTACATTTTGACCCATCGAGTAGTTCCATCATGCTTTTCCTCTCACACTGATTGTGCGCCGTCACCCTCGCCCTGCTAGATTTGGCTGAGTGACTGTGTAGACTGTGCCTGGTGAGAGGCGAAGGGGAAACGAGGGCACAGTAAGGTTTTCTCACATTCTGGGTTTTTGCTTGGATCCTCTTCACCCCACAGCCTTGTGGCAGACTGTGCTCTCCATCACCCTCCCCCAGTAGCATCCGCACCCACAGCAGCGTCAGCAGCAAGTCACTTCACTCATCTACTAATCAGCATGGAAACCCTGGCTTCTCTTTCCTTTGTGACTCTAGGGGCTGTTTGTTACCTGCATCCACTTACTCTCTGCTTCAGTGACATCATAGTAACTCATCTCACCGTCTCCTCCTCTCTCTTCAGCAACACTTACCATAAACGCGCTGACAAACAAAATAAAGCTAGACAACATGTAGGCTGTTTAACTCTTTATTCTCTGTGTTTGTGATGATGTGTTTGAGTGACACAAATCGTGTAAAAATGAGCTTCGGTGTTCTGCTCATCTTATTTCTTGCGTCTTTCTTTTTTTCCTTTCCTCCTCCTTCATTGATTTTTAAAACAAAGTTGTATTTATTTATAGTGTCTTCCTGCATAAGCAATACAACGGGCGGTCGTTTTTTTTTTTGTCTGATCAGAAAATCTTGGAAACACGCACAGGTTTTTCTAAACCAAGACACACAGTGACGAAAGAGATTCAGAGGGAGAGAGGACGTTGAAAAAGCAGGCGTGGCTAGAAGCGTGAAAAGGGTTGTTTTTGTATTAATGGCAAAATAGCAGGAAGCCTGTAACCTGAACGTTTCTGAAACGTAATAGAGGAAGTTGAAGTTCAGTCTGCAGCCCAAATGTGGATGAGGAAATATGAAATATGTCTGAAGTCGAAGGAGCTGTGTGTATCGTATGTGCCTCCTGTCATTTTGAAGTACAGCGAATGAGGCTGACCCAGGCTCTGACCTAAAACTGCTCAGAGGGAGTGAAAGGAAATGCCAGGAGAAATCTGGTGCTGCTGTTAAAAGGAAATCCTGTAAGTGACCCTTTCCTGATAGTGCTTCTTGTCCCATTCAGGTGTGTGAGGATCATGGTAGCATGTTATTTGGCTAAAGCTTCAGCTCCTGTGTCCTGTTGGAACAGCAGCAGGGACGATGTGGCTTTATCCTCTTCTATTGTAGCAATGTAATCAAATGTTGCCTTTGTAATGCATGGCCAGATAATATGACTCTAGGTTAAAGGCTGATGTCCATTATGAAAGTGTTGTGGTTTGGTCAATTAGTGTCGAGATTAGCTGATTTATGTTTTAAAGGAAACAGAGAGGAAGAACCAGTTTGTAATCTTTGTTTCCCCTTTTTAAAATCATGATTGAATTTCACAGCTGACCACAGATTTGTATGCACCAACTCCGTGGCTCAAACACACACACAGGTCAGCCACTGTCAGGATTTAAAGAGGGTTTCTTTTGTTTGTTTGTTTGTTTGTTTGTTTGCTCTTTTGGCTTTGTCAAACTGATTCTGTCAGCAGTCATTAAAGTAATATAACAAGGGCTGGGTATCATCTGAAACTGATACCATACATCTAACTGACTGGCAAATGAAAATATGATAGATCAAAACATTATCTCATAAAGTTAGGATGGGGAACGTGTTAGCAAACATAGCATGCCCTTTTCAGTCCATGTAATACGTCTTAGCTTAATAAAAGAACAGCATTTTCTTTTTATCTTCGACTCAACCAACTCTTTAGCTGCTACATGCTACAGTTAATGGCTAGCTTTTTTCACCACTCAGCTGCTAACTGTACTTGCCTCCCATCTGGTGCTTTTTTTAAAACTGCAAACAGCTGTCTGCTGTTATGTCTGAAAACAGGGTTCATGACAATGAAGTAAAACAGCAAAGTTCCAAATTATAAAACCAAAACAATGCGTTGAAAGAAGCTAACAAGCTTCTGGTAGCTAGCAGTAGCTACCATGTTTAGCTACCATGTTTGAAAATGTTACCTCACTAGCATGAGAGGTTTGTTTGTAATTTTCTGTTGATATCACAATAAGAAATAGTGCTGTTAATCCTTTTGGCCACAATAATCTAAGCTAACATTGTGACGCCGCGAGGTGAAACTCATCGTGTAACTGCCAAAATGTTTGAGGTATACCCGACAGTTTTCTGAAGAACAGTACTTACGTTTGAACTACTCACACAGTTGTTTCCAGTCTGTGTTTGCAAAGTCATTGTTTTTGTCAAATGTAGCAAAATTCCCAAAAAGCAAAATGCAAATTCAGCTTCATTAGGCTCTTCCTAGCAATAGCATCCAACTACAGAAACACAGAGGTTTTCAGTGCAAGCTGACACTAAAATCAGTGATTTGTAGAAAAGCTCTGATGACATTCTTTAGCACCTTAAAGCTTGAGTGTATCAGCGAGGGTTGACTGTTATGGAGTGGAAATAATGAGGAATAAGTGATCCTTCATTCTGAGTGAGCTTTTGCAGTAGTGTGAATGCCCATGCCCTCTCTCTTCTTCTTCAGCTGTTAATCGATTTAGTCATCGGTAATTTTTAACAGAAGTACAGGGACGGGAAGTCAACCAATGTCTTTGGGAATATTTCACATGCAGATGGTGGCGCGTTAATAAAAGCTGTCATCAAGCAGTTGAATTGCTTTGTTTGCGCCGCAGCAGCTGTCTTCTAGCAAAAAGCTTCCTTGTGCCTGTCCCAACTTCTTCTAGCTTTGCTTTTCTCCCAGAGTTTCTACTTACCAGTACACGGGTGTACAGATGTGCTCTGTAGTCCTCTTCATGGCCCCTAAAATATAAGAAGTAAGCAAAGTAGATACCAAGCAGGGTTGGTTGGTGGGGAGTTTTCCAAGTACCCTTAAGGAAGCATCATAACTATTATGGCTGTTTTTAAGAACTGCAAAAATAAAAAGGTCTACCTGTTTTTATTGAAAGGGGCCACCGAAGTAAAGAATGTCTTTTGAGATATAAGTGCAGTAAAGACACAACGTATGCACTCCTGTAGCTCTGTGGGGGGCGTGCTCATCTGATTGGAGGGTGTAAAATATCAAATTTGTCACAGCCACTTTTACAGACTGCATCTCGCCCAGAATTGAGACTCCCAGTGCAGCACTTCTTCAAGTCTTTCAAATATTATAGCAGATGATTTTATTTTGAGTTGTCGCAGCAGCTCGATTTAGAAACATTGACGTATATATGCTTAATTATTTAATTAACTGCAGCCTTTTTAACAAAATGTATAGTGCACGCACATGTATGTCTGCACACTATGAAATTATGCTTGCAAGCCCAGTCCTAAGAGGTGAGAAACGTTTCTGTAAGCATACAGTGACCTCTGCAGGTTCATATAATAAAAGAATAAAGCTAAATGGGAATGAAGCTAATGCACCTGAATCACATGCCACTGCATAACAGTGGGCACAGAGGTCCACATACAGGCCTGTCATTTGGACATTCTGCATATCAAAGCCTATTAGCCGCTCTGTTACGGCACTCAGAGGGCAGAGACCCTAAAACGTTCTTATTTGAGGCTGAGAAAATGAACCGTAGCTAACATTTTGGCTTATTTAATAAAAGCTCCTCTGAAATCTGTCCAAGGAGCCTCGTAGTGCTTCATCGAACGCTGCCACACTCACATCTGACATGCAAGTGTAACACTAGCTAACGAACACCTACTGTACCTGCAGAGCATGCTGAAAAACTATGGGATGTGTTAGGTAGACTTACTCTGTCATTTGAAGAACCTCCTTGTTTTTGTTTTGTTTTTTGCGTGTGTGTGTTTGTTTTTCATAATTTGAATTTTATTTTTCGGTTTGGAAAAAAATGTATTGTGATTACTTGTTAATTAGTGATGTGATAATTAAACAAATAAATTGGACTAAAACTCACATTTGATTTGATGTGTTTTGTGTGTATTTCATTCCTCTCAAGCAGGTACGCCGAAATTAAAACAACAGAATATGCAGAAAGTTTAAAACATGAGACACATCCAGACCATTAAAGTAAAAGTATGTTGCTAGTGTGAATTGTAGGCTTTGTGTGAAATGCTAAACGAAACAACAGCTCACAGTGGACCTTGTTGTGTGGTTGTACCAGGACAGGTAAGCAGACAGCTTATTCTAGTAAAGTAATGAAGATCAATCTGTCACTGGAAGGGAAAAGCCAGATCGACGTGAGCAATGTGTTCAAGGGGTTAAAGCCACGATGAGAGACGCCTGCTTAGCCACACTGGAGAGAAGCCACACTGATGTCAGCGATGTGGGAAAAGTTTCAAACACACAAAGTGTTCCTGCCTGTCCCCACAGGACAGAAGCCATACCAGCGCTTCCACAGTCCTGTGGAAACAGTCCATTGACTCGAGCGCATAAATCAGACATTTGTAGCGGCCTCCACGACTAAGTATACACATCGCTTTAGGAGAGATCGTTGTTGTCGGTCGAGTTCAAGATTTCAAGATTCAAAGATTCAAAGCGTTTATTGTCATGTGCACAAAGAAAAAACATTTCTCTGTACAATTAAATTCTTTCTCTGCTGTCCACACACTGATACTGGTTACTATGTACAAATAAGATAAAATACAAATAGCATGAATAAATAAAATTGAAGTGTTAAACAGATTTATGTGCAAAGAGCTATGAGCTTAACATGCTGGTTTGATATGTGAGATGACCTGATGTGCAAAAATGATTACTGTTAAAATCGGTCAGCTGTTCCAGCGTCTGATGGCAGTGGGGAAGAAGGAGCTGTTGAGTCTGGATTTCACACGTCTGAACCTTCGTTTTGAGGGCAGAAGTGTGAACAGTGTGTTGAGGGTGTGTGGGGTCTTTGAGGATGGGAATGAGAATCTAGCCTGCCCTGTGGCATGACATGCCTTCAAAATGTTCAATGGCTTCTTGCAACAGTGTGTGTGTTGTTCTGTGTATCAGCATGAGCACTTTTTAGCAAAGCATTCTTCATTGTGTCAGCATGTGTCTGTGTGTGTTTTTGCATCAAGGAACTGATGCAAAAACACAGACAGCCTGAAGCGTCTCCTGGAGTCCTGCCCCACTCCCCTCAGTCTGCTGCTGGTCATCGCGTTGTCCACCTTGGGTCTGGTCTCAGTTAGGGCAGTTCTTGTGCCAGCGTCCGTGCCGGCCGCAGGTGATACATGCATCTTGACGATTTGGCTTTTGACCTCAAGTGCCCCTTCTGCCGCCGCCACGCCCTTTCCCTCTGTCACTCCACGCTGGTGTGTTACGGTCTTGTACATTGTTAATGCAGCATTATGCAGGACGGTGCTCTGTTTCTCCTCTTTTCTGCCTTTCTTTTCATCCAGGCAGTTTTGGGCATGATGGGCGTCACGTCGCAGCTCTGCCAGGCGAGGCTCCTCTTGTCCTCCCACTTATGAGTGTTTCACTTCAGTTATTATAATTCTGATCATTTATCAGTACTGATACATGTGAGACTTCATCAGAATTGTGAACATCACAGCAGAGGCCTTTGTGTGAAAGTAACTGAGAATAAAA